TCCCCCCACCAACCCACCCACCAACTCCCCCCACCAACCCCGCCACCCACCCACCCCACCAACTCCCCCCACCAACCCACCCACCAACTCCCCCCACCCAACTCCCCCCACCACCCACCCACCAACTCCCCCCACCAACTCCCCCCACCAACTCCCCCACGAACTCCCCCCACCAACCCACCCACCAACTCCCCCCACCAACTCCCCCCCACCAACTCCCCCCACGAACTCCCCCCACCAACCCACCCACCAACTCCCCCCACCCACCCCAGCCACCCACCCCCTCGTGTGCCTTGATAGGTTGCTCGCGAGCGGCGCTTGGCCCCTGACAGTCCATCTAACGACTACACGGGAGATGCCTCGAGGTGTGCCAGGGTGCGTGGTTTGTGTGTGATGTGTGTGCGTGTGGGGAGGGGTGTTAGGGAGACAAAGGCTGGCCGTGGGAGTGGTCACGGCCACCCTCCCAGCTGTGCCCAGTGCAGACGTGAGCGGGTGCTCACTACGAGCGCTGCGCTCCCACGGTCGACGCAGGCGACACGGCGATCTGTGTGTGTCTTGGTACGGGGAGTGGATGTGATGGTGAGGCGGTAATGGAATCTGTGTGTCAGGTGTGCGTGTGTGTGTGTATGTCTGTGTGTGTGTCTGTGTGTCTGTGTGTATGTGTGTACAAGTGTCTGTGTGTACACGTCTCTGTGTGCGTGTGTGTCAGTGTGTGTATGTGTGTGTGTATGTCTGTGTGTGTCTGTGTGTGTATGTGTGTATGTGTGTGCATGTGTGTGTCAGTGTATGCATGTGTGTGTCAGTGTATGCATGTGTGTGGTGTATGGGGTGTTGTGTATGTGTGTGTATACGGGCTGTGTGTGTATACGGGCTGTGTGTGTGTATGTGTGGTGTATGTGTGTGTATGTGTGCGTATGTGTGTGGTGTGTATAGGGGCTGTGTGTGTGCGTGTATTCTGTCTGTACAAAGCGCGTATCTGCGCGTATTGTGTGTAGCAAGTGAATCTGGCGTGTGTGTCTGTGTGTGTCAGGGTGTGTGTCTGTGTGTGTGTCTGTGTGTGTTGTCTGTGTGTGTCAGGGTGTGTGTCTGTGTGTGTGTCTGTGTGTGTGTCTGTGTGTGTCAGGGTGTATACACGCCGTTGAATGTGTATATTCTGTGTGTAACACGAGGGTGTGTCTGTGTCTGGTACGTGCCGTATACATTGTGTATACATGTGTATACATTGTCTGTGTGTGTCTGGTACGTGTCGTATACATTGTGTATATATTGTGTATACATTGGTATACGCTGTGTATACATTGGTGTGTATACATTGTGTGTGTGTGTTGGGTGTGTACACGAGGTGTGTGTGTGTTCGGCGTGGATGTTTTTCGATGCAAGACGCTATATAAATTCAAATCGTATTGTGTTGTCATTTTTTGCATTGGATGTGTATGGATGTGTTGTGTGTGCGCGCGTATGTTCGCTCTGCGTGTCTATGCTATGGGGAGCGGTGGTGCCGTGGTTAGCGCACTGCGCTACGAACCCGGCGACCCAAGTTCGTGTCTCGCTCACGAGCAAGACTAGTGACAGTGACTATGCGAACCAGTTCTAGGGTCCCGTAGATCGACTCAGCCTTTAACATGAGTCCCTGCTGCGCTGTGTAAACATCACCACTGGGAAGACAAAGGCGGCCGGGCGTGGTGTTGGCCGCCCACCCACTCGTACGCCGAAGGCTACACGTGGGATCTTAATCTGTCTGTTTTGGTGTGTGTGTGTATATATAGTGTGTGTATATCGTGTGTGTGTGTAGTGTATCGTGTGTGTAGTGTATCGTGTGTTAGGTGTGTGCGTATGTATTTTGTTGCTGTGTATGTTGTCACCCGTGTTTACATTTATGCTCATGAACCTCACCTGGACCTCCTCTAGGTCGACTCAGCCACAAATAGGCATCGACAGCGTTCCGTGGACACAAGCTGTCAATCGGCCAGGGTGTGGTGACCACAACCACCACCCTCTCGTGCGCCGTTTAACCCAAAATCGGTACTCGCTAACAGCACTGTCCCCAACTGCGTCTGGGATGGCCCAGACGGCGCGGGGGAGGCCTTCATCCAGCAGTGGGTCGCCCGAAGAGGTCTGTGACTCGCACCGTTGATATTCTCGCTCCGCAGCGCGGCGAGCAACTCCAGTGGCCACAGAATAAACACGGGGACGCAACCCGGCACGGGAGCGCAGCCCATCCTCGCGCTTCCCGACTGCGGATTACTTGTAACCAGCAGCCCGGACGTCCCTTGGACGTGGCCGACCATCACTCCCTCCAGCCAACCAGGACGCCAGCCAGCCAGCAAAACTTGTTTATAATATAGCATGCTGTTTCACGTGGTTTTACTCATCATCCAAGTTGCGCGGATGTCCAGGTACCCCCGTCGCCCCCCGCTGGAGGCCGGGCAAGCGGCGCCCAGCACCGTCAGCATGAGCCGCCCGGAGAGCGGAGCCCCGACCACAACGCCGCCGCCGACGCCCCCCGGGAGAGTCCCCGGCGGCACCGCCTCCCGCGGCCGGGCCCGGGCCCGGGGGCCGTGGCCGTGCCGCCCAGCCCGTGCCTCTCCAAGGTGGAGCTGCGGGTGTCGTGCCGCGCGCTGCTCGACCGGGACGCGCTCTCCAAGTCCGACCCGTGCGTCATGCTGCTCATGCAGTCGCGCGGACAGTGGGTGGAGGTGCTGTGCGCGTGCCCGCGGCGGCGGCGAGCGGCGGTGGTGGTGGTGGTGTGATTGGGAGAGTGGCTGTGGTGGTGGTGGTGGTGGAGTCGGTGGTAGTGTGGGGTTGGTGGTGGGTGGGTAGTGGTGTGGTGGGGTTGTTAGTGGTGTGGTTGGGAGAGTGGTGGTGGTGGAGTTGGTGGTGGACTTGGTGGTGGTGGTGGTAGTGGTGGGGTTGGTGTGATGTGGTTGGGAGAGTGGCGGTGGTGGGGGGGGGGGGAGTCTTGTAGCCTTTCGGGGCAATGTGCAGACACAGCGCTCCCAGACGCAATCACAGCCACGACCCTGCCCCGCCCGTCAGCCTCAATGCCACCGGTCTATTCCAATCACCGAAGCTAAGCCGGTTGGAGCCTGGTTAACCCGTTGACGTGCGACCGCTTCGTATTCACGGCCCTGGGTACAAGACAGAAGCACGTGTGGCTACAGTGCAGAATCCTCCCCCCGCCGCCGCGCACGGAGACCCGGCGAGGCTTTCCTGGATAAATGAATGAAACGATCCCAATTGTCGCGCTTGTGACTCTGAGCACGGACGGGGAGACGACTGCCGTCTTCATTTGGAACGCGGCGCTCGGTTTTTAATTTGCGCGATTCGAGTTTAAACGCGGCGCGAGTGCCGTGCGGCCACCGCGCGGGTGTGCGACGGCTGTCAGCCTCCTACGTCAGCCACGGTGATGATAATGTCGTCATCATCATCATCATTTTTAGCCATGGTCTATCCGCTGCCGAATGAAGGCATCCCTAAGCCATATCGACGCTGTCTCCCCGACAGACCTGGTCTTCACCTGAGGACGGCTGTTTGCGTTGTGGCCGAAACGTCGTGAGAATTATTTTATTATGTTTTATTTTTATTATTTTATTTTTTTCCCTTCTATGTGACTTTACCGAAAGAACCAAGAGATGAATCCCTGCGGTCACGAAAGCTTTAAATCGAAACATATCGAATGTGTTTGTTTGTGTTTACCGGACTCACCACGCTGGGCAGTGCGGGTTGGTCAACGGGGGAAGGGCAGGACCGGTTCTGGTCTCACTCGACGTCAACCGCGGCTGGGAATCGAACTCGGGTGCGCCTGGTTCAGAGCGCAGTGCGCTTACCACCACACTGCCTCGCCACTCCCACGACTCCCAAAGTCGACGTCATCACGATCCGTGGCCTGTCCACTGCTGGACGAAGGCCTCCTCCGTCACGCTGACATCGACCCGCGTCGCCCCTGCACGTGGCGCGAGCCGCAATGGAGGGGACGTGGGGGGGGGGGGGACGTGGGGGGGGGGGGGACGTGGGGGACGTGTGGGGGGGGGGGGCGCGCGTCCCCCGGCCGCGGGGACAGAGTCGCGTTCGCCGCGAGGTGTCTCCGTGAACGGGACGCGGCCCCGTTTCGGGGCGGGCACTCTGACTGCGGCGGCGGTTGCGGCGGCGGCGCTAATCCCTGTTCGGCATTTCTGAGCGTCTCGTGGAAATTACACGTTCATATGCCGGGGCATATTAATGCCGGGGCATGTTAAAGTGTAATTCATATGCCGGGGCACACGATATTCCCCGCAATAATTTCACACCGCATCAAAGGACAATCAAACTCCCTTTCGTGGCGAAGATAAGAGAGGAGTGTCCAGGCGGTACAACTGCGCCGGAACCCACGGGGGGGGGAGGGGTGGAGACGGGGGGGTGGGCCCCGAATGAATTCCTCGCCCCAGGGCCCAGGGCCCAGGGCCAATCGCGCGACGCGGCAGCGCCACGCGTCGCGTCTCTGCAACAATCCGCGCGAGACGTCCCGAGCCGCGCCGCTGGGGACGTCTCCGCACCTCGTCGCTGGGCGCGCCATCAGGGGGCGCGCGCCTCGTGCACGCGCGCGTCTCGTGCACGCGCGCGCCTCGTGCACGCGCGCGCCTCGTGCACGCGCGCGCCTCGTGCACGCGCGCCTCGTGCACGCGCGCGTCTCGTGCACGCGCGCGCCTCGTGCACGCACGCGCGTCTCGTGCACGAGGCGCGCGCCGTGGAAGGAGCCGAGTCGCGCCCGTCTGCTGCTGCTGCTGATGTCGGTGTTTGGTGATTGATGGCGATGATGATGATGGCGATGCCTGCTGATGGTGATGAGGGCGGTTTTGGTGATGGTCCTGTCACCGCCATGTGTTCACATGGATCCTGTACAAACATGTGACTCCCGCCACTCGCACGCGCCCACTGCATGCTCGCGTCCCCCCCCCCCCGTGTGTCCCCACGGCGTCCCCAGGTGGAGCGCACGGAGGTGATCAAGAGGAAACCTGCACCCCGTCTTCTCCAAGGTCTTCACCATCGACTACTACTTCGAGGAGGTGCAGAAGCTCCGCTTCGAGGTGTTCGACATCAACAGCAGCAGCGTCCCCTGCGGGCCCCGCGAGGACGACTTCCTGGGGGCCGCGGAGTGCACCCTGGGGCAGGTGCGGCGCGCGCGCGGCGCACAGAGACAAAGATACAGACAAAGGTCCCCCGTGTAGCCTGTGCAGGCTGTGGCGACAAGTGCTGTTAGCAGCGAACAGCACCCATGGAAGGCCTGCACGGCGCATGAGAAATGGGGTGGGTGCCGGCGGCATCCCCGCCCGACCGCCTTTGTCTCTCCCAGTGGTGATGTGTAAACACTGCACGCGCTACTCGTTTAAGGCTCAGTCGACCTAAGAGGAGGCCAAGTACCGTGCAAAGATTCGTCGCTGGTTGACGCGGGTCGAGACAGGAGAGACAGACAGAGGAAAGACACAGAGACAGACAGAGAGACAGAGACAGAGAGACAGACAGAGAGACAGATACAGAGAGACAGAGAGAGACAGAGATAGGGAGATAGAGAGACAGACAGAGAGAGACAGAGAGACAGGGTGACAGAGACACAGAGAGACAGGGAGACAGAGAGACAGAAAGACAGACAGAGAGACAGACAGAGAGACAGGACAGAGAGACAGCGAGAGACAGAGAGACAGAGAGACAGAGAGAGAGAGACAGGGAAACAGAGACAGACAGAGACACAGAGACGACAGAGACAGAGACAGGGAGACAGACAGAGAGAAGACAGAGAGAGAGACAGGGAGACAGAGACAGACAGAGACAGAGACACAGAGACAGAGAGACAGAGAGAGAGACAAAGAGACAGAGACAAAGAGACAGAGAGACAGAGAGAGACAGAGACAAAGAGACAGACAGAGAGAGAGAGACACAGAGACAGGGAGATAGAGAGAGACACAGAGAGACAGGGTGACAGAGACACAGAGACAGGGAGACAGACAGAGACACAGAGACACACAGAGACACAGAGACAGGGAGACAGAGACAGAGAGAGACGTCCTGTGCTCCTCGTGGAGCGAGTTGCGGCCCCACCCCCGCACTGGGGCCTCGACTCGGAGCGCAGTCCGCGTGACCTCGTTAACCCAGCCCCATCACCCAACCCCATCATCACCCTCCCCATCACCCAGCCCATCACCCAGCCCCACCACCCAGCCCCACTACCCAGCCCCATCACCCAGCCCACCACCCAGCCCCATCACCCAGCCTCATCACCCAGCCCCACCCACCCAGCACCATCACCCAGCCCATCCCCATGCCCCACCACCCAGCCCATCACCAGTCCCCCCAAACCCAGCCCCATCACCCAGCCCCATCACCCAGTCCCACCACCCAGCCCCATCACCCTAGCCCCATCACCATGTCCCACCACCCCAGCCCCAACACCCAAGCCCACCACCCAGCCCCATCTTCTTCACGCAGCCAGGCAGAGAGTTGGCCGCGCGTGGCGCTGGCCCCCCACCCCCTCGTGCGCCGTCCCGGCATTCGCAGTGCTCGCAAGCAGCCCTTGCCCCACCAGTCTGTCAAGGCTACACGGGGGATCTTTGTCGCGGTGCGGTGAGAGGGGGAACAGGTGGGAGGGATGGGGCTGGGGTGGGCGGGGCGTGTGAAGAACGGGGGGAGGGGTAGAGGAAAGGGCGGGGGGGTCAAAATGAAAGGGGGGTGGCGGGGGGGCGGGGGGGGCGGGTGGGGGGGGGCGGGGGCTCGTGAATAATTGATGAGCGCTGATGGGCGAGGAGCTGCGCGGCGGTGATTTGAGTCGCGGGGGGGGGGGGGGGGGCACGCGCCCTTCATTACGGGACCCGGTCCATCACCCAACATCACTCATCCATCACTCAACATCACTCAACATCACTCATCCATCACTCAACATCACTCAACATCACTCCCACATCACCCAACATCACTCAACATCACTCAACATCACTCATCCATCACTCAACATCACTCAACATCACTCATCCATCACCCAACATCACCACCCATCACTCAACATCACCTCACATCACCCAACATCACCATCCATCACCCAACATCACCACCCATCACCCAACATCACCACCCATCACCCAACATCACCACCCATCACCCAACATCACCCATCACCCAACATCACTCCCCCATCACCCAACATTACTCCCCCATCACCCAACATCACTCCCACATCACCCAACATCACTCATCCATCACCCAACATCACTCACCCATCACCCAACATCACTCACCCATCACTCAACATCACTCCCACATCACCCAACATCACTCCCCCATCACTCAACATCACCCACCATCACTCCCACATCACCCAACATCACTCATCCATCACCCAACATCACTCACCCATCACCCAACATCACTCACCCATCACTCAACATCACTCCCACATCACCCAACATCACTCCCCCATCACTCAACATCACTCCCACATCACCCAACATCACTCCCCCATCACTCAACATCACCCACCATCACTCCCACATCACCCATCACCAATCGCGCATCATCCAACATCACCCGACATCACCCAACGCCACTCGACGCTGGTGGGGTCAATCGTGAAGATTCCGTCACCTCCATACTTCACCAGTCTCGCTCCTCCATCCTCTCGCAAGGCCCCCCCCCTCTCTCTCTGTCGTCATCGACTCTCTCGAGCGGACGACTCTCCGCGTGGTTGACTCGCGCCGTCCTCTGCCTGACAGATCGTGTCGCACAAGAAGATCACAAAGCCACTGGTCCTCAAGCATGGCAAGCACGCGGGCAAGTCCACCATCACGGTGAGTCCACCATCACAGTGAGTCGACCATCACATTTATTGTACAACAAACACCGCCCCTTTATGGACGCCAACATCCATGATCAATCCACTGCTGGATGAAGGCCGCCCTCCCCGAGCCGTCTCCATCCCTCGCCGGTCACGTGATGCAACCAACAGTCAATCCTCCTCGCTCCTCCTCGCTGCTCGCGATCCGATTCCATCGCTCCATCTCCGCGTGCCCTATGCAAGCAGCTGGTGCTCGTCGTGGTGGTGGTCGTGGTGGTCGTGATGGTGGTCGTGGTGGTGGTCGTGGTGGTGGTCGTGGTGGTAGTGAGCGTGGTGGTCGTGGTGGTGGTAGTGAGCGTGGTGGTCGTGGTGGTGGTCGTGGTGGTTGTGGTCGTGGTGGTTGTGGTCGTGGTGGTGGTGGTCGTGGTGGTGGTGGCGGTGGTGGTGGTCGTGGTGGTGGTCGTGGTGGTGGTGGTGGTGGTCGTGGTGGTGGTGGTGGTCGTGGTGGTGGTAGTGGTCGTGGTGGTGGTGAACGTGGTGGTGGTCGTGGTGGTGGTAGTCGTGGTGGTTGTGGTCGTGGTGGTGGTGGTGGTCGTGGTGGTGGTGGTCGTGGTCGTGGTGGTGGTGGTCGTGGTGGTGGTGAGCGTGGTGGTGGTTGTGGTCGTGGTGGTGGTGGTGGTAGTGACCGTGGTACAGGTAGCGGACCTCCTTCCGACTGGGCTGCTCATTAATGAGCACATCCCGCAGACGGAGCCGCTCATCAAAGCTCCTAATTGCTCCGTGGAGTTAATTTGTGCCCTGTGCGGGCGCACACCATCAGCGGCTCGCTCATGCGCCGACGAGGGCGCGATCCGGACTCCTCCACCAGAGCCCGAGCTGCGGAGGCAGCTCGAGTCGCGCTGCTCGCTAAGGCCTTCTCTCTCTCTCTCTCGAGTGATGCACAGAGAGCGTGCTCTGTGAGGAGGGCGAGTCGGGGAGATTGTGCGTGTGTGTGTCTGTGTGTATGTTGGACTTCTTTCGCACCGTACGTAGCCAACCGTGCAAATCGGAGGTGCGGGGAAGGACATAGTGTAGTTGGGGAGCGGTGGTCTTTATCTCACTCTCTGTCTCTGTATCTTACTCTCTCTACCCCTCCCCTCTACTCTGTCTGTCTGTCTATCTTACTCTCTCTACCCCTCCCTCTCTACCTCTGTCTGTCTGTCTATCTTACTCTCTCTCCACCTCCCTCTCTACCTCTGTCTGTCTATCTTTTTTTCTCTACCTCTGCCCCTCTCTCTCCTCGCTCGTCCAGGTGCCCGGCGTCAATGTCCGCGCCCTGCTCGACCCACGCCCATTCCGCGCGTCCACCACCAACACAGGCCACGTGACACTTCGGCTCATTGACTTGATTAGCAAACTCACTCTGCCCCCCTCCACCTCGCCCACTCCCCCTCCTGCCCCCTCCCCCTCCTGCCCCCCGCACTCTCAGATAATCGCCGAGGAGCTCTCGGGCAACAACAACTACGTGGAGTTGTTCTTCAGCGCGAGGAAGTTGGATGACAAGGTGAGGGGGGGGGGGCAGGGGGGGCATTCATCACAGTCCGCGTGGTGTCAACGTCACGCCGCGTGACCAATTACCGCGACCAATTACCGCAGCGCGTGCTCGGGGAAGGAGTGCGAGGGGGGTTGATGGAAGAGAGGGGGGGGCTATGATAGTGCCCCCCCCACCC